GGGGGCGGGGGTGAGGGCATCGGGTCAGGAGGTGAGGGAACAGGAAATGAGAAATATGACGCCGGAAATGAAGATGAGGGTTGAGAGGGAGAGGAGGGCGAGGGCGGCTGAGGAGAGAATGAAGAGGTTGGGTTAGGGGATATTTTAGGTAGGGCGGGCAACGAGCCTGGAAGAAAGGAAAGGATGGGGAGGGGGGGAGGGGTCCTCGGAGGGATGGAATGGATGGAGAGTAAGATTTAAGATTGGGGTCGTATGGCAGCAAGCGAGTCTAGTACCTAGTACCTAGTATGTATTATACAAATCTCACTCATATTACTTACTTACCTACCTACTTACTTCATTTATCTATTGAAAAGATGATTGATATATATATATATATATATATATATATATATATATGTATACTACGAAAAATCTTTTGGGTACCTATTAATTAATAGATAGATATCTTTTAATTAATATTTATATCAATATCAATATCAATATATACATTTTTTATCTCTTAACTTTAAACTTTCAACTTTCAACTCTTAACTCTCAACTCCCAATTAACTTTCTTATTCGTTAGTTAAACTAGGTATTTATAGACTTAAGGGATTGGATATATATATATATGTTTTAAAGCCTTAGCGAAGAAAATGTCCTGCGTCACTTTTCGATTTTATATGCCGTCGAGATCGTTTTCCGTATTTGGATTTCCACTAGGAATCATGTTTATATAAATCACATAACCTAAAATAATTAAAAAATCTTTAATATTAGAAATCAATTTTGCTAGTATTACATAAATAATATATAATTTTTTTATTCTAAAATATCTATTCTTACATCGGGGGTGGAGGGTTTAAGAGAGGCGTGCGTACGCTTTTTTTTCCTTAAGATTGTTAAAAGCTTTAAAATTTTATAAAAATCAACTTTTTTAGTTTTAAAATTAGAATAGGCTCTAAAACACGTACGTGTAGAGCGTGTCCTTAATAGTATATTCGGCTCGATTTTTAAAAGTACTATATTATAGATTGATTTTAAATTGATTTTAGATAAGGTTGCTAGCGTGTCGTAGGCACGTGATTCATGCAATAGAAAGAAAAAAAGAAAAGAAAAGAAATGCGTTATTTATATTTATATAAATATACATTTATCTCCATCTCCCCTCATCCCTTCCATCTCCCCATCCCCTTAAAAACCCTCTCCCATTCCTTCTAAATCCCCCTCCTCCCCTCCCCTCCCCTCAAAAACCATCTCCCATCCCCTCAAAAACCCCCCCAAAAAAAACCCCAAAAACCCTTAAAAAAAACCACCCCCCCTGCACAAGGATGTCCTCGGTGAGACTCGAACTCACGACCTTTGGATGGCCAAGTGGATGTTAACAACCACTTCATATGTATGCACTCGTCTCATGATGAGAGAGAGTGGCGAGAATATGAGACCAACGCTCTAACCAACTGAGCCACGAAGACTTGGAGGGGATGATGTTTGATGGGATCGTGATGCCGGGGTGGGTTTTGGGGGTTATGTAGTAGGGGAGTGGAGGGGAGAGAGGGGATGGATGGGTGGGATGGGATGGGATGGGTAGGGATGATGTGAAGATCTTTTTTTTTTTTTTTTTTT